ATATGACTTCCCTTTCCAGGACCCTAATGGGATGGCTGAAAGGTCTCCTCCAGCTTCCAAGTTTGGACTCTGCACTGATTTCCTGAGCCCACAAACCCAAGGAAAAAGTGACATGTTTTTCCAGCTACATCCATACCCACTGTGTGTGGGTGAGTCTCTGTCAGGAGTTCACTCTCATGTTTGTTGGGTTCCAGCACACACAGTTCTAAGGAGAATTTGGAATTCAAGTGAACCTTCCGGGTTTTTTCAGCCTAAGTTGAAAAACATACGTTGAAAACTTGAGTTTTTTCAAGGTAATTTTCCCAACTGAAGCTTTTTCAGCTCAGAGTTTTTTTCACACTGTACCTCAGAATGGCAGATCTGATGTGAATTCACCTCTGGTTTGCAGCAGGATAATCTATTGCTCATTGCCCACAAGCTGCAGCTCCCAGACTTCAGCAGAGCTCTGAGCTAAGGCTCCAGAGCTCAGTAGACAAGATTCCAAGCTCTCCCTTGTGCAGAGTGTCAGGAATATAGGAAACAGAGAACAGTGCCAGGGGCAGGAGAAGGGGTTGGTGCCTTGTCCTGAGCTGACAGTCTGAGCCACCTCCACCTCCCCCAGCCCTTGTGGCTCAAATAAAGACCCTGATGTTCCTCTAGTAAAGCTGTGGAGTTCTTATTTCACATTGTGCTGAAGAGTTAGTTCTGCAGTGGAGGAAAAGAGGTGTCCACAGTGTGCTCAGGATTTCTGCTGCTGCCTCTCACTGTTGGGAGAGCAGCAGAGCCCTGAGCTCTCCCAGGGCAGAGTGGGAGTGCAGCTGGTCAAAAAAGAGGAGAAGAAACTAAAACTGGCAGCCCTAAAATGCTGGTGATGATGTTCAGGAGTCAGAGATGACAGGACAAGAGGGCAGGACAGGAGGACAAGAGGGCACAGACTCAAGCTCTGCCAGGGGAGGTTCAGGTTGGATATTAATTAGGAAGAGATTTTTTAGGAGAAAGTGATCAGGCATTGGAATGTGCTGCCCAGGGAGGTGGTGGATTCACCATCCCTGGAGGTTTTTAAGGTGAGACTGGATGTGGCACTTAGTGCCATGGTCTAGTGACCACAGTAGGGTTGGACTTGATGATCTTAGAGGTCTTTTCCAACCTGATTGATTCTATGCTATGATAAATCAGGTCCCTTCCTCACCCACCTGCTGCTTCAACAGGTCTCGAACTTCCATCAGCACACGGTTGGTTTCTCTCATCTCTTCCAGCATTTCTGTCCCACCTTCACCTCCTAAAAGAGCCAAAGTGTTAGGAGAAGCACAGCAGAGCTGCCTAAGCCAACTGGTAGCACTCATTCAGCTCACTATTAACAGTACAGACTCCACAGCAGTCTCTGGCAGTTCCTGAAAGGAGCTTTGCTGGAATTAAGAGAGACTTGACTCCTGGGTGGAGTTTGCTCTGCTCATTTGCAGACTGACAATCAGCTGGGCCTGGGAGGGAGGGAGGGAGCAGCTTCCCCTCCACAAACAACCCGGGCTGGCAGCCTGGCAGCTGTGGGAGCTGCTCCTCTGGCTCAGACCCTGCAGTTCACACATAGGAAGGATTTGTTGCCAAAAGCAGCAAATCCTTAATTCAGTGCTGGGGAAGCTGCAGGGAAAGACTCCACCAAAGGAAAACTCTTTGCTGAGTCTAGCCCGAAGGTGCTGCCAAGCAGTGGATGTGGAGAAGGGGCACATCAGCTGCTGCCTCACCTGTTCTCAAGGTACTGACTTGTTTCTTGCTGAAGGCAGGTTCTTTTCGGGCTGTGGCACTTGGAAATTGCCGAGTTGGATCTTTGGGATACAAAGGATACATGTGCTCATGCATGCAACACTGCAAAGCCTGGTTAATCTATGCTCAACAGAGGAGCTAAATCATCTTACACAGGTCATGGAGGGCAGATTAACAGGATTTTTCCCTCCCATCTGCTGCATCCTAGGCTTGAGTCCTTCAGACATGCTCAACATCTACTCTGTGCTCAGAGGGATGAATGGATGGAGCTCATTGTGGTCTAGAATTAGGTGATTTTATTTAAAATTTGGGATGTAAAAACAAATAGGACACAAAGTTCAACTCTGGTATTCTCCTGGAATCTCATTCCTTGTTGGCCCTGAGAATGTACAACCTCATTTCTCTAGTTTTTCCTAGAATTTCTCTACTTCTTTCTCATTCATAGAATCCTAGAATTTTAAGGGTTGGAATGGACCTTGTGGATCATCTAGTTCCAACCCCTTGTCCTGAGCAGGGACATCTCCCACCAGCTCAGGTTGCTCCAGGCTTTATCCAGCCTGGAATGAACATTGCCAGGATTGATCCCGGTTAATTTATTGATCCCCTAACATAACTCAAACCTCTTCTACAGCACAACCAAATCTTCATGGAGAACTAGGAATATCTCCTATCACAGCTCTCTGTGTTCAAGGGAAAACCAACTGGAGTTTGGGGTTTGCATCCCTGAGCATGGAGAATTCCCAGTGTCAAAAGCAGGTGGGACTCTGTGCCACTGATTTAGTGCAACCTCATCCTTCTCCTGTGACAAATAAACCTGAAAACCTTATGGATCTTCCCCACACAGAACCAAAAAGACTTGAGGAATATTTGTAACCTCTCCAATTTTGGTTTTGGTTTGAGAACTAACTTGGAAGTCCCACAAAAACTTGTCATTTTAAGGTAGAAACACTAAATTAAAGTGATGTTTCTTAACTGATTGAAAACAAGGAGCTTGCACAGAACTCCTGACTTCAAGCAGAGGTTTTGGCTGAGCTCTGCAGAAAGGGCTTCAGCAGCTTCCGTTATTCCTGGGCAGAATTTTCCATCCCTTGTGGCAAGAGGGAATTTCAAATCAAAGCTGGGGGGTTTACTATTCAAATTCACAATGATTCAGCCACTCTAGAGAGATTCCCTAAGGGAATCTGTGCACTTGCAGACATTTCCATTCCTGTGCATCCTTCTCCATGGGCTTGTCCTGAATCCAAACCTGGAGCTCAGCCTGAGTCTGATGGAACCCACAGATTCTGCCTGAGCTGAGAATTCCCTAAACAAACTGATTGGAGAAATGGGATTTCTACATTCCTAGAGGTCTACATTCCCTGAGCTCTACATGCAGAGATGAGAGAAGCTCATCTGAGAGGAAGCTCAGAGAGAATATCCAAGGATTCCTGTGGTAGGATGTGCTGGTTTTGTAACCTAAATCCCACATAAACTGCAGATGAATGCAAAGTGTCTCTCCCAGGTCATTACCAAACCCAACAAAACTTCCAGTCACCCTAAACAAATGTTTGCCCTTAACAATTCACCGCTCGGGAGGGAAACTGGGAAAAATCAGAACATTTACACAGTGAAGCTTCAAATTCCCTATGAAACTCCTGAATCCCTAACCATTGTTTTTAAGCTCCTCATTCCCTTCTGCACCACATCACTTCCAGAGGAGCCTGAAAAGCACAGCAGCCCTGAAAATATAGTGCAAATCACTTACCTGTCCTTCTCTGCTGGCACGAGGAGAAAGGACAAGAAAGGCAGAGGAGGAGAACAACGGCTAGAGCTGGAATCATCTTGGGCTCTCCAGGCAGTGTGGGTGGAAGAGCTTCTCTTGCAAGGGATTTTGAACCTGCAGGTTTGCCTCTGCTCCCCATTAGTGGCTGTGGTTTGCTATTTATGAAGCTGCATTCCTTCCTCTGAAGTTCTCCCTCTGATGCTGGACGAGGGTGGACGTCATTTCTGGCTGCTCCTCCACAGAGAACGTTACAAAAGTAAACAATATGAGAAACTCATCAAGAGAGGAGGTTAATTTTTTTTTCTTTTTTTTTTTTTTTTTTTTTTTTTTAGCCTAGCTCACATTAAAATAGGTCAGAAACTTCCAGAATTAAAGAGATTCTTTTATTGGGGGTTTATTTCTTCTTCAGTGACACAGGACAGGGAGATGATTCGCAGCCAGAGCCCTCGGAGAGGAGGTTAATTTTTTTCTTTTTTTTTTTTTTTTTTTTTTTTTTTTTAGCCTAGCTCACATTAAAATAGGTCAGAAACTTCCAGAATTAAAGAGATTCTTTTATTGGGGGTTTATTTCTTCTTCAGTGACACAGGACAGGGAGATGATTCGCAGCCAGAGCCCTCACAGATTTTTCTGCTAAATCTGGTCTGAGACATCTGGACTTCAGTGGAATGTCAGAAAAGGCTCTTCAAACTCCCCAAAGGCACTTTCACCATTCACACTTGGGGGAGAAGTACTGAATCATCTTCCAGCTCTGAAGAGGAGCTTCCACATCCTATTTCAGAGAGGCATTGGGCAGATCCTTAGAGGCTGAAGTTGATCCCCCCAAGACCTGCCAAGGGCTGAAGTTGATCCCCCATCCATCCCTGACAGAGGCTGAAGTTGATCCCCCATCCAACCCTGCCAAAAGCTGAAGTTCATCCCCCATCCAACCCTACCAAAAACTGAAGTTGATTCCCCTCAAGACCTGCCAAAGGCTGAAGTTGATCCCCCATCCAGCTCTGCCAAAGTGCAGAGAAGATGGAAGGAAAGGAAAGAAGACTTTGCTGTTTCTTGTCCATGAAGCACTGATTCTCCATCCAGCATTTTCCACCAGTCACTCTCCATCTAGCACTTTCCATCAGAAGACACAGAGTGGATTGAGAAATTCACCCCAAGAAAAAAAAACCTGCCCAGAGTAAATCTTCAAGCTCCTACCTCAGGGAATTTGCAGGTTAAAGTGTTACCTGTCCAAAAGGTTGGTTTGGAGAGCAG